AAAGCAAAGAGCAGAGCTCTGGCTCAGAGCTCAGTCCTGGGATTCATTCCAGTGAATAACAACTCACTTCCATTTCCAAACAAACACTAGGAACTGACCCAAGACAGAGAAGGTCCCTTCTTGCCCCTAAGAATGAACAGGCTCAGTCAAAAACTAAAGTTATAAAGCCCAAAGCACTTGGATATACAAAGGACACCAGAGAAGTGCTTATGAGAACCTTTCCCTTTGGAGAATAAACCATGCTTGGAAAAAGTAATTCCTGCATTTCACATTTCCCCATCCTCCTGGACAGAGGTGTCTGGATCCAGCACCAAGCCACAGCTGGCCACACAACCAGGAAGCAGCACAAGAAGCTGCTGTGACTGTAAGGGATGCCCAGACTGCACCCAGGGTGCTCATCCCTGGGATGCTCTCCAAAGGAAACAGGCTGGGATATGGTGGAGACAACGAGGATGGCCAAGCACTGAAGCACCAGGGGGAGTAAAATGCAGTGCTACCCTTTGCAAATGCCTGCAGTATGTGCAACTGCCACCAAACTGAGCTGTTGGATCAGGCCTCGAAATCCATAACACCCACACTGAGAACTAAAAAAGAAACGTTATTACAAGAAACTGCTGAAAACAAACTCCAAACTGGTGTTACTTTTCACCGAGAAGAGACTCCAGAAACACACTGGAAAGCACCACTACTGATTACCAGAGGGAAAACTGGCCATTTTTACCTCGGATTTAGGGACTGGGGAATCCAGGCCATCCCCCTGCCCACATTGCCTCCAGACCCACCATGGGTAGTTTTAATTGCTTCTACACCGCTGGCCTTGGTTTGAAAGCTCTGTGTCTCTGAAAAATCTGTTTAAACACAGGGAACAAGCACAAATATTTCAGATATTGGAGAGAACATTCTGTTCTTTTAAAGAAAAGGAATAATGCATTTCTTTTTAATGGAGCTGTTGGACTGTTTCCAAAAAGAAGTGGTAACAGTTCCACTGTTTTGAGGCAAAATACCAGAAAACATGTCAAAGAGGTATTTTTAAATGACTTCAGACCCAACAGAAGCAGTAAAGCAGTTGTCTGGTTATGATAACTCATTTCAGCAGCTGCAGGGAGTAACATTTCCAAGGGGATGCAGGCTCCAGAGCTACAAGCCACTCATCATCTCCCATTTGATTTCATGCTCTGGAGGAGAAGGTTTGAGCAGAGCCCATCTCCAGCACTCTGTGGTTTTAAGAAAACTGCATTGTGTCTGTGCCTGAATTTGTACTGGGAAAAGAGGATGAAGAAGTTTTCATGTTCAATTCTTAGCTTTCAACTACAAGTTTGAAAAACTACACTTTCTCTTGTTGTGTTTCCCTCTGGTATCAGAAGCATCAACAGAAACTCAAAATTAGTAAAGAGAAATAAACAGAAGCTTAAGCAAGTTAATGCTAAATTGTAACACCAATAAATAAAAATATAATCTTCCTTCTGGAAACTTCTGTGTTTAAACGGAAAGAAGGGAAATTTATGTTCAATACCCAGCCAAGAGCACTGAGTGCCACCTCTGGGGATGGGGACTCCATGAAAAGGAAAATGTAGATCCAGGGGCACCTCTGGAGCTGGACACCCCACTGGGCAGAAGCCACGGATAAAGGACAGGAAAGCCTTGGGATGGATGCAACCCCTCCCAAGCCTCCAGAGTACTTGGGAGAACGGCCTTGGAGGAGTCAGGGGAGACTCAAGTCTGAAAAAGCCACTGCATGAATTTAAGATCTGGCCTGTGGAGAAACAAGCTAAGATCTCTCACTGGCAGCTCGGGAAGCGAGACATTTCTTGTTCCTGCAGTGAATGCATTCTGAGAAAGCTTCCAGGCCACCCAGCCCACGTGTGAACACAGAGGCAGAGGAGCAGGGCACTGCATGCAATTCAGCTGAAAACTTCATGCACAGATGGAAAGATGTAGGAAAGAATAATTTCTAAGAACCCCAAAGATCTTGGGAGGGTGTAAATAAGCACAGCAAAATCTAAGCAGAGTTTTAAAAGAGAGATAAAATTATTTTTGTAAAAATAGAAGTGGAAGAAAAGTGTAACTGAAGACAGGGAAGAAACTTGGTGGGGCAGTATTTGGTTACTGGGATTTTCATTATATCTCTCTAATAATTCATTTCCAAAGACTTATTTCATCACCTCCTACATTACGCAATAATTCAAAGTGATGCCTGGGCTCTTATCTTCTGTTGCTTAATGAACAGTGCTCACATCACACTGGAGATGTTTACTCACAGAGCCCAGAACCATGCCTGTCTCTGCCTGGCAGCCCTGCTGGAGCCACTTCCCAAATAAAGCACCACAAAACACACTCAAAACCCTGCCGTGCTCCAAGGATGAAGCCATGGAAGGTGCTGTATCCACAGGGTTGCATCACACACCTGCTAACAGAACCAGTTTCTCTAAAGACCTGAACAACAATTTTAGTTTTTATTTTGCAGACAAGTCCATATCAAAGCAAATGAAAGCAGGAACTATTGGATATCAGTGTGTTCATGTAAAAAACATCATTAAAGGTAACTAAGCAGTTAAAAATAAGGTCTTGTAGCAGTTTCAGGTATTATTAACTGCATTTAATACATACTTCTCCATGCAACAGAAACAAGTGTTAAGTGTCAGAGAATTAATTTCCTAACAGCATCAAACCAAAAGCCAGAGTAATGAGAAGAAATCTCAAGTACCACAAATAGGAATTAATATGTTTTGATAAATTACCTGTTTCTCTTCTGCATTCACTAACACCTCACAGAATGCAGAAAGCAAATATTTCTCCAGTAAACTGCAGGCACTATGAGGGTATTTTACTGCATGAAGGAAAGCACAGAATACACACCCAGACTGAGAACTGGAACACCTCTCCCAATTCATGGGCACAGGGGCTTGCTGAAATGCTACAGCTTGATTCTAAAGAGCCTTGTTAGGTTTGATGATTATTAACAACATCACAGAAAGGCAGAGCTAACCTAATCCCTGCTTACTTCCTTTGGGTGGATGGCAGGTGACTGCTGAAGCCTAAAGGTTTGAAAAAGCACCAGGAATGGGTTCCTGAGGCTTCCTGAAGAGATTCTCCAAAGCTCCAGAGTGAAGACTGTGCTTCTCCCTTTCTGGCCTGCTCTGGTTACTCTACGCACACCACACACAACAGACACAATCCCGAAAACTCCTGAGAATCACCAAGAGCTTCTGTATTTCCCTTCCAGCACTTCCTATTAATCATTTCACCCTAAATGAATGTGTGCTACAGAAGCAAGAGCTCCTGCTACCTGTGTTCCCACCTGATTTCTGTGTGGGCTTAGAGTTCAGGAAACAATGAAGGGAAAGTCATAGTGCCAAAAATAATAAATGGAGAAAGCAGCTGGTACCACTTTTGCTTCCAAGTTCCCCTTCAGAATCACTGAGTCACACACCCTTAAACGGAGAAAAGGAGAACCTTTTTTTTTTTTTTAAATAATCCTTCACAGACACTTCCAAAAGTCTCAAAGCCTCTTCTGGCTGAAGTTCTACAGAAACAATCAAATCTTAATAAAAAGAAAAAGTCTTTATTTTGGCACAGTATTTCACTGAACCATGGAATATCCTGAGCTGGAAGGGACCCAGAAGCATCACCTAAGCCCAACCCCTGGCCCTGCAGACACCCCAACAATTCCACCCTGTCAAAATTAGAAGTAGCTTGCAAATACTGCTAAGACAGACACCAAACCTCTGGGACTCTGCCCTGGCATGAGTAGGCACTCTGCCATAAGCATTATTTGGCCATGAGACTGTTCATTTCTATAAAACTGAATTATCCATCTATAAGTTTGTCTTGGACATGAGTTTTTGTCCTTTCTTTGAAAACTATTTCAAAATTGTAAACATAAAGCATTCTAATGATAAAATAGATTTGTATTTTAACAAAAATTTTGGAGGATTTCTGGTTCTGAAATTCAGATTTGCTGAATTTCAAGTGATCACATTTTGCAGGTGAGAAGAGAGGTTTTGAAATAGTTGCTTACTCTCTAAGGTAAGACACTGATGTTCTCCAGTGGCTGACCTCAAATGGAGTGACACAAAACTCAATTGTTCATTTTCATTTGCAAAAAGCAATTTCTTTTAACTACTCATTTTATACACATGAAAGACTTGAACCACTGAATAATGCTCTTACGCAAACAGACTAACCTTAAATGATCCTTGCTTTCTGCTAAAAAATGTTACATTCGGAAACACTTTGGGAAGTGCCACAGTTACTACGCACGTTCAGCATTTTCCTTCCAAGGTGAATACCCTGGAAAAACTTGTTAACTGGTCCCAAAACCTCCCTTTTTATCATTCTCAATCCCTCCCAAACCAATGAAGCAGCAATTCCCCATCTATAAGTTATGCAAGGTTAGCTCCAACTGCTTACTAGAAGAAAAACAACAGACAACTTAGGGTTTAGTGGTTTTCTATGCAGACCAACCCCCCTACCCCCATCCCTTGTTCTTCACTTCTTAGAAGTTAAAAACCTGAGTTAACAGGGCAACCCAAAGACCCCAGGACTCCATGCTCACTATTCTGAATTCAAACACGTGCAAAGTCTAAGGTAAGGCTACACCCACACCCAAACTTAGGAGCAAATAAAAAGCTTATCCTTTCTAAATTAAATCACACAAACATCACAGGTTGGTCAGTTCACTGCAATTTAAGAGAAATGGCAAAGCTCATTATGTTATTTTTAAGTTAAACGAGAAAGCAAAACGTAGCAGGCAACATGCAGAACTATGCTACTGGTATCACAATGTCAGTATACAGGCAATAAAAGACAACAACTCCCCCCCAGCCTTACTACACAGAAAGCCCTTGAAGAGTCACTCCTACAATGCAGTTAAGTAGAAGATTTCAGAAAAGGATGCACAAAAAACATTTAGCAGACTAAACAATTTGATTAAACAGAGTCCTGAGAGTTTAACACAAGTTCAACAGCATAACATTTACAACAAGAAAGAAGAAAGGCACCTGGAGACATCTGACACTGGGCATGCTCTGCAGGCATCTCAGTGCGCACATGCTCTCTACCAGGTTGGAGCAGCCTAGCCACAAAGACCTTGGCACAGAACACTGCAGGGTGACAAAAAGGAAGGAAGAGAAGAAGCAGTTAGATGCCACAACAAATCACTCAAGGCAGGCAACTCATTAGTATGTTAACGTGGGTACTTATCGATGTTATTTCTACATTCATCACAGTTACTGGCCAGGGGTAAAATAACCACTGAAGATCCTGTGCAGCAATCAGGACAAGCCATCCCTCTAGCCTGAGCTCCTTTTCCCCCTCTGTAACCTTGTGGCTTTAGTGCCCAGCTGGACGTTTTAACTGACTCCCAGCAGGAGAGTTTTAGTTCACCCACACTGCTGCCCACAGCAGAGCTTCTGGGGCAGAGGCCTCACCCAGCAACCCAGTCTGGCCAAAATCTCTGCCCAGCTGTAGCCTGCACAGTCCCGCTGGGGACAGGAGGCCAGGAGCTGCCACTGGGGTGGCAAGGCTTTAGAATCCACCTGGAGGAGATTTAGGAATTAAGGTCTGGCACTTCCCTGTGTCTCAGCTTTCTCAAACAAACTGTGGTTCTTTATTCTGCACTGGGACAAACAACCTGACAATGGGAGCACATTTTAGAGAAGAACCACACTTAGCTAAGTTCAAATTGCATGACCAAGTTTTGCTTAATCAAGGAATCCTAATGAACTGCAGAAAAATGCTGGAATTATAGTTGAAGATATCCTAAAGCCAAATCATCCCCTGGCTATATTTACTACTCATCCTGCCACCCGAACTTAACTACCAAATTCCCCACTGCTGACATGAGTAATTAGGAAAAGTTTGGAGATCCCTTTTGTTTCTTTTCTGAAGCTGAAGAAATTTGATACAGACAGACTCCCCAGAACTTCTGTAGCTCCCCAATATTATTTCCCAGTTCCTTTTAAGGACAGAGCAGTACATACACCAGATAAATTTAGGGAAAAGGATTCAATTCCTCAGCATCAAGCAGTGCACAAACCCAGCTGCAATATTTGGCACAGACTGAGCTTTCACTATTTTTCACACAGACTTCCAATTTAGTTACAACAGACAGCAAAACTTTAAAAGAAAAGCCCCACACAGGTCAAAGATGAAAGTGGAATAACTGGAGGTGAAGCCATATGGAAAGCAGTTTGTGCCAGGATCGAGGAGGGGGAGAGAGCCCAGAGCACCTGAAGGGTAAAAAACTTTTTTGTTTTTTCATATCTTAAGACTAAAACAAAAGGAACACCAATATTTTCATCTCCATGCTAAGGAGAGAAATTACAGCAAAACCAGCACAAGAATGCCCCTAGCAGCACCAAAACACATTGAAATTCCCTCTTACCCAGCAGGAAGGTGCTGATTCCACAGGCATGTCCTTGCCTGTGGCAAGGGAAGGCAAGAGTGGGAGCATGAATCTTATGGACAAGGGTAAAAATAGCCATATCTATGTTTTATTGTATTATTCTTTAATAGTAAAACAAACCCATAGTTTCCAATTACTAAAAGTTTTTAAAACTTGATTTAATGTTTAGAGAAATGGGATTTAGCTATAAATTACTCCACTATATCTGTCATTACTTTGCATTACTTAACTTTGACATGTCCTCACACTAACACTGGAAATTTAGTTCCCAGGACACTTCTAAGACAGTCAATAAATGACAACAGGGAAACTACCTTAACTTCAAGAAGACACCAAAAAAAAAAGAGGTTTTCGTATTTTCAAAAGAGATGGGATGTACTGTTAAAACCCATTTACTGAAGATACATACTTTTATAGGTCTGTTTTTAAAAAATACATGTATAATTCAAGAAATTCCCCTTCCAATCTGTTTCACTATTTGTTCCTATTTAGGACAATATCTTCATGGCTGTTCTTCAAAAAAAAAAAAAAAAAAATCAGGGTATTTCTGCAGGTGTTGAAAAAAAAAAAAAAAAAAATTTAAACACAGAGGCCTGATTTTAAAAAAAAAAAAAAAAAAANAAAGAGGTTTTCGTATTTTCAAAAGAGATGGGATGTACTGTTAAAACCCATTTACTGAAGATACATACTTTTATAGGTCTGTTTTTAAAAAATACGTGTATAATTCAAGAAATTCCCCTTCCAATCTGTTTCACTATTTGTTCCTATTTAGGACAATATCTTCATGGCTGTTCTGCAACACTGAACCAGCAAAATTCAGGGTATTTCTGCAGGTGTTGATTAAAGCCCAAAAACATTTTTAAACATAGAGGCCGGATTTAAAAAAAAAAAAAAAAAAAGTAATTTTGTTCACATGACTTAACAAAAGTCATTGATAATAAACACAGCAAACTCCTCTCCTGAGATGTTCAGATCTGGCGTAAAAAGCCGTGCATAATGTTTATAATTAATTGGCACTTGTAGATGTCTACAAATTATAAGCTAAAAATCAATGGTTTATTTGTTATTATGTGGGGGAGTCTAGGAGCTACTCTAGCTACATAAACTGAATTTTAAGAGAAAATTGCTTAAGAGAAAAATGGATAACTTGATAACATTAAAAAAAATTTAATTCATAATGCATTAGACACCGAAGCCATTTCCATGCCAAGGTCAAGCTGCACAAAATCCTTTTCACAGCATTACGAAACCCTGCATGAAAAGCTTTACAAAAACTCCCTGGACACTCAGCTGCAGCATTGCTATTGCACAATGCTACAAATATGGTGTCCCACTTCACACCGAAACAGGAACGTGCAAATATCTGTGCGCCTCCCTGACATGTTATTGCTTGACCCTGTCATGAATAAAAGCTTAACAATGTTCCAAAGGTTTCACCTTGCACTGGTCCTTCTTTTGCCACGAGCCCAGGGAGGTGCAGCACCATTTAATAAAGCCTGGGAAGGGGAAAATGCCAGTGGCCAATGGGCACAGAATTAATAAGAACACAGATCAGGTTAAGGTAAGGCCTAAACCGAAATTTGGCCTAAACTCAGATTTTAAGGAATAAGGTAATTAGCAATGCAGAACTTTAACTGCCTCACATTCTGAGGGCTGTGGATCACCTGGAGGTCCTCTTTGCAGAGCTGAGAGGGGCTTTGAGCCCCAGGCCAAGGAGGGAACAGGCAAAGAAATTCATTCTGAGCCTTTATAAGCTTTGTGCTTGCAAATATTCATACTCTAATTTTATTATTAGATGATTGATGCTAATTCCATACACAAAGAACTGCTTTGGTGGTCTAGCCCCAGGAATTATATTTCAAGCTTTATGTTTCAATTTTAAATCTCAAATTTAAGCAGCCTATACAAAATGCTACATACCCAGAGAAACATGTAAATCCTCAGTAAAAAGGGAATATGCTTCAATGTCTTTAAAACTCAAATGTTAAAAACTTCTTATATTAATAGCAAAGCACACAACACTGTGCATCCAATAAACCAACTTTGTAGCTGGGAACTTTTAGGATGGAGGTATTAAAAAAACACCCTCTCAGGCCCTGAACTATACAAAGTTTTCCTTTTTCTGCTTACAGGTTACAACATGGCTTGGTTAAAGCAGTGTAACATGCCCAGAGCATCTGATACTGTCACACAGTATTCCTCACACTTTTGTATCCCTTAAAAGCCCTCACACATTTATTAAAGCCCATTAAATTGCTCAAGAAATGCTTATAGCCTGTATTTCTGATAAAATTAGAACACCTTTGCAACCCAGACATGGCAATATTGCAATGTCACAACCAAGAATGACAGCATTTATATAACCCAGACTTATGCTGCAAGTTTTATAAAATATTAAAATTATGACCTCAGAATTTTTTGCTCAATTAATTTTATTTATACAAGATAATTTAAGGAGTCCAAATTTATTGGTGTGTTTACAGCTTGGGATATTCTGGTCTTAAGGCAAAAATATGCAGAAAAGGTACAATCAAATAACCTCAACCTTCACTGTCAATTTTTTTCACACTTAGCTATAAGAAACACACATGCTATTCAAAACTGGTGATTTCCTGGTTAGTTTACTTTGATTTAGGCCTGGATGAACACAATTGCTATTTATTTCCACCAACACTTAAATTAAATTTATCAGAATTAAGATAATTTTATGGGCAAGTGGTGCTAATTAAACCCCTCTCCATGGCTGGGAGTTCAGTTTAATGCAGCCCAAGAGGTGCTCTGAAAAGCCAGCTTGGATTTGAGGGCAGTCTGGCAGTCTGGGAAAGCCTTATGCTCCCACCTCCAACTTAATGGCAAGTTCAGATCTCCTTAAAAATCAGCATTAACCACACCAAGACATAAAAAATATGAGCAGTAACACTGTTTCAGGGTCTTCATTATTATTTTACACTCGGCAGGAACAGCAGCCAACTCCAGCTCCCGGTTTGCAGGCTGGGATTTCCTCCAGATCTGACCTGGTGCTTTTCCTGTTCAGGCTTCAAACAGTGCCAAGCAGAGCAGTGGTGAAGCCCTGGGCTGGGAATGAGTGTGCACAGGTGAGAAAGCAGAACATCCAAGGGTGTGTGTGAACACTGGGTGGGACATGCAGGCAGTGGTGACACAAGCTTCCCCAGGGACAGCCCGGCTGGCAGGGGATGGTCCCCGCACGTCCCTGGAGGCACAGACACGAGTGCCTGACCAACAGGAGCACTCTGGGTCCTCCTGCTGCCACCCCAGAGCCAGGCTGTGCCCGGGAGATGCCCTGTGCCCACGTGCTCCACACGAGTCTGTTGGAATCGGTGCCACCACATCACTACTTTTCCCATGGACAAATGCAACCCCACTGGGCCTGGGGGATTCGGAAGGCTGTTGGAGCACCATCCATACAACACGTTTCCACATTCCAGGGAGTTTTACATGTGCAATCTGGCAATCTGCTTCAGCTTCAGAAGAACTGGACTCCCAGGTCAACAAAGTTGTTTTAGCTGTAATTTACTCTTGCATTTATTTCTGTCCTTCCATGAGCTACAAATGCAAAAACAAATTTCTCATAAATAAATACTCACAGAGTGGAAAACTCATTTTAATTTGTGAAAAATTTTTGACTCTTCTTTTATTGTTATCAGATCTTAAAAAAATAGGTAACCAATAGCTGAGTCACAGTGCCATTAGGAAAATCAATTTAGCCAAATCATTGCCATTCACAATAAAAATTGCTCAATGGAACAACCTTCCAACAGCCATTCGAGATCTTCACATAAGCTCTTGCATTTGGGGAAAAACACTAAGTGAGGAATCAGGAAATTTAAAGCAAGACAAGGGAAAAGAATTGATCAGAGAAATTCTCCTTATTACCACAGTGATGCTCTAGATAGGACACTGAATTCACAGGAGGCTGACGGATAACGCTGTCCCACTCTGCTCCTGAAGATCAAAGCGTGTTTGCTACACACAGTCAATGCTACAAAAGAATATGGGTTCAGTGGAGAGAAGATTAAATGCTTTATTTGAATAGAATAACCATCTTACTCCATTATAATTTATTAATCACGGTAAGACTCGTGAGATGCAGCAAGCTCATTTTCAAGAAAATACAAAGGACTGTGAAAAAATACCAAGATGTTTGCATAAGTCACTCTGAACATTAACTGAAATAATCTCAATTTTCCAAAATACACAGCATTTAGACTAACCCTTGCTTCCTTCATGTACATATAGCCCAAGTCCTGCACTTGTGTGATACACCTTTCAGCACTAACATCCCCTGTGTTACACTAAAAAGGCCGTTTCTAAAGCAAAGCACTTTCTTCTGCTCTCCTGCAGCAGAACAGGGACTTAGAGACATCTTCAGCCAGCAGCTCCGGACAAATCCTGAGAGGGCAACACAGACCCAACAGTGCAAATCACACAGAAGAAACTTGCAAGGGCGTCAAACACAGGAAAGAAACGTGGCTGAACCTTGTCTAATATGTTAAAAGCTGTCTCAGACCCTTAGGTTTTCAAGGCTGAGGCCTAACAGAGCTAACAATAAATCCTACAACAGCCAAGGCAGGGTGGAAACACTTGACAAGTTCTGATGCCTGTGGAGGTTGGGCTGCCAGGAACAAACCCAGGGCTCCCAGGCAGGGTTGCACACCCCAGGCTGCACAGGAACACTGCCACAGCCATGAGAGCTGCCTCACCTTGCACTTTCTGAACTGTAACATTCAAAACACAGGCAAGAGCAAAGTCTCCAACCTGCTCAGCTCTACTGCTGTAGGGCTAGCTGATATTTCCAAAAGTTAAGCAATATTAAATAACATTGAGGATCTTGATCAGCAAGTGCACTCATTTATGTTTCCTCTTTTTTTCCTTGCTCAGTGTATTTTAAATTATTTCCTGTTTTCAGTTTTCATCACTAAAGTTCGCTTCTGCCTCCCTGTTCTCTCATTTTAGAAAAAGGCACACCCTGAACAGCAAATATTCCACAGAAAGATATTATTTTACAGTTTTAACTCCAAAGTGAGTCTGATGACTGTGTGGAACAAATTCAATTTGATACTAGATGAGAATACAAGAAATGTGTCAGTCTAAGGTTAGTAAGTATTTCCCTTAGATTCTCTCTCTGGTTTATTTAAGAGTCACACTAAAACAGACTTCTCCACCCTAACCAAATAAAATTCAACCACTCAAAAAATCAAACCAGGAAACAACAGCACCCTTTCCACAAGTAATTTATTATAAATGTACTTATCAATTAAATTCAAATATAACTTCATCACAAAATACCACACCAGCAAAACAAACGCAGAATTAAAACCATGCATGAGATCAACAGCATCTACAGAGTTTCTACTACAGGAGGTTAAATACTGAGGCCTCACCATTCACTGCAGTAACTGCCTACAAAGGAGAACATACAAAGGCTGAACATTACTGCTGTTATTGTTTACAGGAATCCAGGTACATTGTTTCACAGTGACTTTAGAAATATGTTGTCAAGTCCATCAAAGCACCAACTTACAGTAAAGCTGGGCACTGGGAGGTGCAGCTCTCCCATTCACACCAGATACAATACTGAACTTACTAATTTTATTTTCCTGACAGCCAGGGACCCAGCTTGCCTTCCTGAGGCACACAAACACTTTCCAAACCCATCTTCAAGACAAAGCCTTCTGCAGGCATCCCAAACCTCAGAGGAATGTGACTCCAAGTACAATGGCTCTCCCCTACTCTGAAATAAACCCAGTGTCACTGTGAGGCTCCTCCTGCCACTCCTGCCCTACACCTGTCCCATAACAGCTGGGCCAAAACTTCACACTGACAGCTCAGAAGGGTTTGGGACACTGACTCCTAGTGCTGCCCACAACAGAATTTCAAATCGCATTTCAGCAGTAAAAACTATATGAAATTGTCCTAGGAATAACCAGAGAAGTTCTCTCCAGTTCTGATGGACCCATCAGAGGACAGGGACTGAACTCAGAGCTGGCACCTCCCTGAACTCCATGGGGAGCCCAAGGCAGTCACTAGCAAGACTGCTCTCCCCTTCCAAAAGCAGGTTGCGGCAGCCAATGTGCCCGTTCCTGCACACACAGAAGTTCACCTCGTGCTCCCAGGCCTGTGCTCCACAGCACACTGGCAATTCCCTCCAGTATCTCCTGGCCATGCCCTGTCTGATTCAGCTCTGATTCCCTGTGCCCTAACACTTGGGGGACATGAAGCAGTTAAAGCGAGGGACTGAATGTGCGGACAAACTCATCTAAGCAGAAGCAGCAAGATATAGTACAGGGTGACTTCTTACCTGAAACTTTGTTTCTGGGCTTCAGATCCACCAATCCAGAATGAAAGGGGATTCGAATGGGTTTTCCTTCTCAGACTTGTCTGTTAAAAGAGAGCAGCCAATCATCTTCAGCTTGGTGTATCTACTTCTTTCTTGAACGAAATCCCAATTACTGCTAATGCTGTTAGAGACAAGGCAGCCCAGGCACCTGCCCAGCCCGGGACCGACTACGTTAGTGGGGTTGTCGGATTGGTGGATCTAAGACAGAGAAACGCATTTACAGACAAGAAATTGCTCCTTCCCTTACCCTGGGTCACCCAAACAAGTGTCTTGCGGTACAGCTCGTTTTGCTAAGATTAAGGAAGATCAGAAGAAGCTACAACACAAATAACAAAGCGAGTCCTGAAGCTTCAACCACCAGCTCACACTTTGCAGGCCTGCTCCAGGAACACAGGTTTGCACAACAGCTCGATGCAGTTCTCCTGGGCTGCAACATCCTCTAAAGTACTTTACTGCAATGATTTCCCTGTTTCTCCAAGCTCAAAATGACCTCATTTGCCTTACACGTCTGCAGCACAAAGATGGAGTTGTCAAGACACTCCTGATCAAAACAACAGCACTGTATTCAGTACATTTGCAGTACTGCTGTGTCTCTGGAAAACAATCTAGAGCCAGAAGAGAGTAAGATTCTGTACACTTCTCCTAAGACAAGAAACTGTCACCTCTTGCTAAGCAGGGAGAAAAACTGCCTCCAGCAAGTCCTGCCCACAGCACAGTGAGAGTGTGACTACTTTAAAGCAGCTAGAAAGTGACACCTCAGAGAAGATGTGGTCTGCAGAAAACACACACTCCACATGCAACAGAAAGCTCAGTCTACAGAGACCAAACCACGCAACTTCCACCAAGAGCTCCAGAAACTTTGGGCCATGGCCTACAGTTTCCCCTACCAGCAGTGAGAACACAATGCTGCTACACCCCCAGAGGAAAGCATCACCACCCCTCTCATCCTCTCTGATCTGCAGCCCCTCCAGAGAGCTGAACATCAGCCTCCACTGCTGTGGCCCACATTTCAATCTCCAGCCACTAACAGAAGGGTGGAAAAACTGCCACAATTTCCAGCTGTGCCAAGAAACCATTTCCATGAGAACAGGACTGTCCCTGACTGCCCACAGCTCCTCAAAGAAAGGAGCATCTTCATGGCGGGGTGATTTCCTGCTTTCCAGCCACTGGCAAAGGCAGTCAATCCCAGGGCAGCGTTTCAAGGACAAAGCAGCGCTGTAGGCCCAGTACCATGTCCAATGCATGATTTTTAAGGCTGCTAAGGAAAGTGCTAGGATGTCAAGGCATATGACTCAGAATTTTCGGAATACAACACAGCTCAGCAAGAAGCCAGCTATCAAATTATATAAATGTACAGATTTGCCAAGTCACTGCAGAGCCAGCAGGGTGCTGGAAGGAGAGGCACTTCTTCAGGAAGCCAAACCTCAACATTATTTGCAAGTGTAAGAGCTCAGGTCTGATTTTTGTCTCCAGAAGGACTGGTGTGCTGGAGACAGCATGAATAACAAGTTTCCCTGGCTAGTCCTCCCCTGCCCCAAGAGAATTGCCAACAAGATTCTCCATCAAGTCCAAGCTGGAACTTACTAAGTTTTGCAAATTCCGAGTATAGATTTTCAAAGAGATTTAGGTGCTTTTATCTGAAAACCAGAAATTGGCTCCACTGCAAAGGTTGGAAGACTTCAGAACAGCCCCATCATGCAAACCATCCTGAAATACACGAGCTCACACCTCTCAAAAAGGCAAACAGTTTACATTGGCACATCTTTTATACCAAAACTCCACATTCAAGAACTCCTCAACAGAATGAAACTCAGAGCAAACTTGTAACACTGAACATACATATATATAAATATAGTGATTCTCCTCTTCTCCTCTAAGTCAACAAGTAAACCAAAATTCTGAAGTGTTGCCACCAGCTTGAAGTTGACCCAAAAAGCTTTTTTTGTCCTTTTACCCAGAAAACACACCACTCCCTATTCCTAGCAAGTAGGTCCCTACCTACATCTTACAAATTTCCATCTGTATTCATCCAACAAAGGGGCCCAGGAAGCCAAACTCCTCTTTGATCCCACACAAAACTGTTAATTTCCTGGGGTGGAAGTACAAGGATGCAAGTCCTGCGGGGATGTGGATTAACAAAGCACCAAAGAAACGACATGCCTTGAAATGTTCCCATTGTTAATTTAGCCTGTATGAGAAGCAAATTAAGTTTTCAGAAAGAGTCAGTGCTTTTCATTGTTAAAACATCAATGGCATTGCGTTATTTTTGCATTATCTGCTCTCGGTCATGCATTGCTCGTATTGGGAAATGTGTGGAAGTGGTATAGGAAAACGGAGTAGGCTGTCAGATGTCACACCACTGAGTTCATAAATACATCAATAAACTGGGGAAGGAAGGGAATTTCCAGAAAAAGTGGATTTTCTGTGAATAATGATGCCATAAAAATCAAATCACGAAATCAGATTATGTAACAACATAAATAGTGGCATCCGTACAAAGAAGACGTCGCCCAACGAAAAAGCTAGAAGGCAAGAATTGTTACCCATCAGCATTAATTTAAACAACTCAGTCAATATTCTCATTTCCCTTCAATTCATTTTCTGCCCTGCAACAGAAAAATTCCCTCTCATAGAGCAGCCCTCTCATAAGCACAGTCTCTTGTTCTCTCCCACACATCATTGCTCTCGCATTGGCACATTTGCTGCAACATCCATTTCATCTGAAAGCCATCAGCAATCTCCCTGAGCACACTGCTGCACAAGCACTCCGAGCTGCCCAGGGACGGGCAACTGGAAATGCCAAAGCACCAGCGACCTCTAAATTGCAAGGCAATAAACCCAGCACATCCAGACACACACGACAAGTTGATTTAACAAGCAGCAGAGGTGTTTTAGAAAACATGAAATGAAATGAAAAGGTACATCCATCCTTCAAACAACATTCCCAGGTCTCTCCGAGGGTACAGCTTGTAACAAGGCGGGCTGTTTTGCTGTGATGCTGCTCACAACACTCCTCAGTGACCCAAATCTCAGCAGTGCTCAAAGCTCTGTATCCTGAGGGACACAGACAGCACTGTCTGACACGCAGCAAAGGCAGATGGGCTTTTCAAAGCAGCAACCCCAGAGCACTTCAGAGAGGACAGCTGCACCCACAGCAGCTGCCTGCAGAGACAGGATCTCGATCCACACGGGCACCTGGACAGGGATTTACTCCAGGAGCTCCTGGCCCCCAGGCAGAGCTCTGGGGCCAAAAGCTGCCTGGTCACACTCACCCAGAGGAGCCCTGCACATGTTCCAGGCTGCAGGGAACTTCCTCTGCTGCACCTCACTAGCTCAGCACCAGGCAGAGCTTGGAGAACTCTGTCATGTCAGAAAATGTACCTGCATTGTGAGGTGAGAAATCTCTGAGTCTGGAATGAGATATAAAATGCCTCTGGTGAAACACCAGAGCTCAGTCTCCCCAAGGATTGGTAACTTCCTTTCATTAAGAACCAATTTAGTTTCAGAAGTTCCCCCACAACTGGCACATCTGCAGCTTTCTTTCACCTGAATAATCTGATGGCTACTGCCACCATCATCACAAACCTCAGATAACTTTGCACACTTCTGTATCTTTATAGCCTCCTTCCCTCTGCCATCTCATTTCCCCAGTCAGGCCACTGCTTCCGCTAACCCTTCCCAAAAGATAAAGGGTTCCACACTCCTTTGTCCACCTCCCTCCTTTCACCACTCCACTGGTTCTAAGTGCAGTTGCCTTGCTCTAATTCATGTTCTTAAGCTCTTCCTTCCCATTTTCTGCACTGCTGCCAAAGTCACAGCAATGTCTTCTATTCAGATTTGTTTCCCTCCTGTGCAAGGCACTCTCTGAAACGGGACTATCATTCTCAGAACCTGGCAGCAGCACACACCTCACATCCCCTGCCCCAAGGCTCATCCCAAGGCTGTGCCTTCCTCAAAATCCATCCATCCCACCACCACCTCTTTAGCTGTTTGCTCCAGCCATTGCATTTTTCCCCATGTATGAAACCCTGCATGCTTCACTGTCCAACATGCAGCTCTCAACTCTGTTCATTTAGCTGCTGATTAAAAAAAAGATACCAGCAAAGCAAACAGATCGTTATCCTGCTGAAGAAAGCATATCAAGGTTACACACAGGTTTACAAATGCCTTACTAACACACCATCTACTCCAAGGCTTCAATTAAGAACCAGTCAAATTTCAGCTAGAACAGTACTCCTTTGTTTCAGCTGCAAAGATGATCATTGCCTGTATCTGTGTCGCTACAAAAGTCAACTCTTTGAAGGATTCCTCCAAGAGCATGTGAAAAAA